GAGAGCAGGCTCTGTCCTGGGGAGTGGATCAGGGGGTTGTTGGCAGTGGGGGGGAAACTTCTCAGCATTCTGGACAACGGGTCTCACCCCCTGCATGCCACACTGGTTTCCTACCGGAGCACTTTCAGCCACAGACTGAGATCACCCATAACCACCACACAGCGCCACAGGAGGTCTTTCCTCCCAGTGGCAATCAAACTCTTTAACTCTTCACCCCTAAGTAAAGGGCACTGAGAACTCCCACACCAACACTATGTGCAATATACATATCAATATAATTAACATCACTGCAATACACTCGCTGCTATATATATATATATATATATAGATATATATATATATATAACTATGTGCAATATTATATTATATTATTATTATTAGTATTATTAATAATGCTATGATAACGTGCAATTACGTAACTGCCACTACGTTTTAATTTTTGCACTATAACTACTAAATACTGCTAATAATAATTGCATTGATTGTGTGACTTTCTATGTTTCTACGTTTTATGTTGTCTGTGGATGTTTAATTGCTCTTTTTGCTGCTGTGTTTATTGTGTTTATTGTATTTTGTTACTCTGGCACAACAATTTCCTTCGGGATAAATAAAGTCTTATCTTATCTTATCTTAAAAGCGCATTTAAAAAAAAAAAAAAAAACGGTTCTGAAAAAGCTAAATAAATGCACAAGAGGTAGTCAATGTCAAAAAACGAGAATGAGACAAACACTGACCGAGACAAATCAACGTGCTGCCATCTTGGAGCAATTAAAAACAACATGGGCTTGAGTGCTCTATTTATGATGTATAGGTCCTAACACACTCAGTATATCACACTACATCACTCATAGAACTATGCTGTGAATCTGTAAATAAAGGGACAACATTCAAAGCTAACTTTATTGAAATTCATCAATCATGCAGATGAAACCCAGGTCCACATTGCCAAGCACGTCCTGAAGACCGTGTGCTCGGACGTGTCCAACATCCTGGTGAACTTCCTGGCTGCTGACCTGATGATGTCCGTGGAGAATCCCAGTACCTTCACCCCTGAGGTGAGAAAGGTCCTTCTCTGGCTGAGGGCCAATATAAACCATACGATGTGCTATGCCTTGACAGAATCCTATGGCTGACACTTGGGTACTCTAAAGACAGACTATTGGACCGGAGTCCTCCTCCTCTCAGCTGGACAATCAGAATACCTTTATTCGTCCCACAGAGGGGACATTTTTGTTTCTTGTTACAGCCAAAGCTAGCTTAATATTAATTAAGAAGAACGCATCAAAATAGTAAAGATAAAAGTAGAAATTACAATTTACAAAAAAGACATCCCACAATTGACAACAGTTGTGAGATCATCCAGGTGATGGTATTAACGGGGGACGTATATACAGTTAGTTGCACAGTTATTTACAGATGTATTACAGGAGTTGAATTGTCTAGCTGAGGGCAGCCAGAAATAATAATAATTATGAAGCGGTTTATATATATTATTGCACATAAGTAGTATTGCACAACAGGGGTGTTGTAGTCATTGTTATATGCGTGTGGTGGTCTACCAGGGGCCGTGGTGGTCATACAGCCTGACCGCTGGCGTCATGTTTGAAATGCTCTGTGGGACTGGTTAGAGTTTGGTCTTGGTGATGAAGGTCTCCGATGTGTTCCTCAGGTCAGAGTGAAAATTCTGGGCAAGCTGTCGGAGGACACCAGAGGACCCCTGATGAAGCTGCACAACTGCCTGAACGGAAAAGTGAGTGTTTCCTGTCAGTTACATCATGAGCCTCTCGCTTTACTTTGAAGAATAAAACTGAAATACTGTGACCAAAACCCGTTCACAGACCATTGAAGACTTTCTGACCAACATCGAGGCGTCTGCAGAGGTGTGCGGCTTCATGCTGAAGAAGGGAGACAAGAAAAGGGAGAGGTAAGAAAAAACAGCATTTGTATAGGTTTTTTTTCTCCTTTATTTATTTAGCGAGTGTTGAGAGGCTAAGCTCAGCGCTTTAATCCACTGAGGATCGTGGCGTAATTGCCGACACTTAACTTGCCAGTTGAATAAAAGTCACACAAAGTTTCAAGTGAAACACTCAGTCCATTTATTTTCTCAGTGTCCATTTAGCTTGCTTCTTATTTCCATTCTCCGTACACAAAATGACACTTAACACAATACCTAAGGCAGCCAAACTCTCTCTCTCTCTGTGTGTGTGTGTGTGTGTGTGTGTGTGTGTGTGTGTGTGTGTGTGTCGGTTTCGGTTTCGGTGTTTGTGTTGAAAAACAGTTTGGCCTTCCGGCGGAACTTGAATCTACAAACATTGGTTCCTACCTTTATATCCTTGGCTCCTACATGTGTATTTGAGACGTACTTCCCTGTAGTTGTGCTGAGTGTGATGGTGTCTCCCAGGCAGGCGCTGTTCCTGCACCGCCAGGCCCTGATGGAGCAGCTGAAGGAGACGGAGGACCCAGCTCTGGTGCTCCACCTGACCAGCGTGCTGCTGTTCCAGGGCTCCACCCACTGCATGCTGCACGCCCCGGGCCGCTGCGTGCCCCACGTCATCGGAACGCTCTGCGGCCGGATCCCAGTGGTGAGTCTGACCCCCCCTGATGGTCTACACCAGGGGTCGGCAACCCGCGGCCCACGGGCCGCATGTGGCCCTTTAAGCCCTCTGCTCTGGCTCCCTTGAGCTTAGACAAAAATAAGAAGGAAATAAAATAAAAGTATTTGTAGGACTATTTATATTTTGTTGCATGGTTGAAAATGTTTCATATCTTGTATTTTGAGGTGATACTCTGTGACACATAAATAAAAAACAAAACGGTTTTAATTAGGTCAACTAAAATATGCGTCACATCCTGCTACGGTCCCGCGCGAGCGGCCGAGCACCTTTTCCTCCGGGTGAATAACCTGACCCCCGGCTCGATGAGCAAACTATGGATAAATCAAAGAAAAGTACCGGAGGAACACAGGATTTAATTCTGTGTGGATTGAGTTATATGCTTTCACAGCAAACGATGCTGGTTTACCGGTATGTTTGATATGGAGAGAGAAGTTGTCAACGGTGCTGCAGCCTTTCCGTATCGAGGAACAACAAGGGAGAGGAAGACAGCTGACAATCTTCAGTCATAATTCAATGGGGTATGTAATTTATTTCAGAAAACACTTTTTGTTATATTCCATGGAATGCTCTTAACGTCCCGATAGCAATGAATATATTAAATGCTTTGACAATAAATACATACAAAAATTCATCTCTGGAAGCCGTAGCGCTGTAAAAAGCACGACCAATCATTTTAGCCAGCCCGGCTAAAATAACTGGATGG